CCTGAGGCAAGGGAAATAAAAGCAAAAATAAGATATTTGAACTATATCAAAATAAGAAGTTTCTGCACAGTGAAATAGTCAACATAACTAAAAGGGAAACTATGGAATGGGAGAAGACATTTGAAATTGACACATCTGATAAAGAGTTAGCATCCAAAATGTATAAAGAACTTATAAAACACAATGCACCCAAAACAAATGATCCAATTATTATATGGGCAGAAAACATGAGCAAACATTTCTCCAAAGAAGACATCCAGATGGCTGACATGTGAAAAGATGCTCAACATTGGTCATCATCAGAGAAATACAAATCAAAACTACAATGATATAACACCTCATACCTGTCAGAATGGCTAAAATCAACAACACAAAAGACACCAGATGTTGACGAGTATGTGGAGAAAAAGAAACCCTCTCACATTGTGGTGGAAGTGCAAACTGGTGCAGCTACTGCAGAAAACAGTATGCAGGTTCCTCACAAATTTAAAAATAAAATTACCCTATGATCCAATAATCATACTATGGGGTGTTTACCAAAAACAAACAAACAAACAAACAAAAAACACTAATTCCAAGGGATAAATGCACCCCTGTGTTTATAGGAACATTATAATAGCCAAATTATGAAAGTGTCTATCAATAGATAAATGGAAAAAAGAGATGTGAGATTATATATATATATATATATATATATGTATATATATATACATATATATATATATATGCAATGGAATATTACTCAGCCATAAATAAGAATGAAATATTGCCATTTGCAATGACATGGATAGAGCTACAGAGTATAATGCTAAGTGAAATAAGCCAGTCAGAGAAAGATAAATGATTTCACTCATATGTGGAATTTAAGAAACAAAACAAATGAACAAAGGGAAAAGAGAAAGAGAGGTAAACCAAGAAACAGACTCTTAACTATTTAGAACAAACTGTGGTTACTGGAAGGAAGTCAGGGGGAAGTGATGATATAGGTGATGAGGATTAAGAAGTAAACTTGTCATGAGGAGCATTGGGTAATGTATGAAATTGTTGAATCATGATGTTGTACACATGAAACTAATATAACACTGTATGTTAATTAAACTTCAATTAAAATAAAATTTTTAATATGAAATTAAATATACACAAAAATACTTATTTTAACACTATTTCTATTAATAGAATACTGGGATTTACTCACTTTATTAACTAAAGACTAGTCTAATAAATTACGATATATCTATTCAATGGAGATCTGTGAAGCTGTGAAAGAAGTTATGAAGATCTCTTCATAGGTCCAAGGAATGATATGATATTCAGAAAGTAGTGTCAAAAAAAAAAAAACAACCCAGGAGTCAGAATAGTAGAAATAATATGCTATACTTTGTATAAGAAATGGGAGGGGAGGGAGAGAGATATGTATTTGCTAACTTTTGGAAAAATATTGATAAATAAAATCTAATCATTTTATAGGAAGTGGGGAAGGAAGAGAAGAAAGAAACAGGAATGGAAGCTAGACCTCTAAATATATCAGATTTTATAATTTTTATTTTGGATACAACTGTCTATCTTACATAATTGAAAACCCAAATTAAATTTTTAATTATTTGTTTATTGAATTTTAGTTAATATACAATTCAATATTGGTTTCAGAATTAGAATTCATTAATACATCACTTACATACAACACTCAGTGCTCATCACAATAAGTACCCTCCTTAACACCCATCTAGCCCATCTCACATCTCCCTCCTTCCAGGAACCCTCAGTTTGTTCTCTGTTGTTAAGAATCTCTTGTGGTTTGTTTCCTTTCCTTCTCTTCCCCTTTGCCATATGTTCATCTGCTTTGTTTCTTAAGTTCCACACGAGTGAAGTCATATGATATTTGTCTTTCTCTGATTGACTTATTTAGCTTAGCATAATACATTCCAGCTCCATCCATGTTGTTGCAAATGGCAAGACTATTCTTTTTGATGACTGAGTAAAATACCATTCTATATATATACCACTTCTTCTTTATCCATTCATCAGTCGGGAATTTGGGCTCTCTCCATAGTTTGTCTATTCTTGAAAATGCTGCTATAAACATTGGGGTGCATATACTCCTTTGAATCTATATTTTTGTATCATTTGGGTAAATATCTAACAGTGTAATTGCTGGATTATAGGGTAGTTTTATTTTTAGTTTTTTGAGGGCTCTGCATACTGTTCTCCAGAGTGGTTCCACCAGTTTGCATTCCTACCAGCAGTGTTAGAAGGTTCCCCTTTCTCTGTATTCTCACCAACACCAGTTGTTTCATGTATTGTTAATTTTAGCCAATCTGATAGGTGTGTGGTGGTATCTCATCATGGTCTTGATTAGTATTTCCCTAATGATGAGTGATGTTGAGCATCTTTTCATGTGTCTGTTAGCCATCTGGATGTCTTCTTTAGAAAAGTGTCTATTCATATCTTCTGCTCATTTATTAACTGGGTTGTTTGCTTTTTGGGTGTTGAGTTTGATAAGTTCTCCATAGATTTTGAATACTAGCCCTCAGAAACAAACAAAAAAACCAGGTCAAACCCACAACATATCATAGTGAAACTTGCAAAATACAAAGATAAAAAGAGAATTCTGAAAGTAGCTAGGGAAAAATGGTCCTTAGCCTACAAGAGTAGACACGTAAGATCAGCAGCAGGCCTGTCCACTGAAACTTGGTAGGCCAGAAGTAAGTGGCAGGAAATAGTCAATGTGCTGAATGGGAAAATATGCAGCCAAGAATTCTTTATCCAGCAAGGTTGTCATTCAGAATAGAATGAGAGATAGAGTTTCCCAGACAAACAAAACTAAAGGAGTTCATCACCACTAGACCAGTCCTGCAAGAAATTTTAAGGGGGACTCTGAGTGGAGTGAAAAAAAAGACCAAACCAACAAAGACTACAAAGGATGAGAGAACATCACCAGAAATATCAGCTTTACAGGTAACACACCGGCACTAAATTCATATCTTTCAATAATCCACCTGAATATATATGATTTCACTCATATGTGGAATTTAAGAAACAAAACAGATAAATATAGGTGAAGGAAAGCAAAAACTAGATAAAAACAGAGAGGGAGGCAAACCATTAAATACAGAGAACAAACTGAGGGTTGCTGGAGGGATGTTGAATGGGGGGATGGGCTAAATGGGTGATGGGCATTAGGGAGGGCACTTGTTGGGATGAGCACTGGTTATTGTATGTAAGTGATAGATCACTAAATTCTACTTCTGAAATCTTTATTACACTATATGTTAACTAACTTGAATGTAAATTTTAAAAATTAAAAATAAATAAATAAATTACAATATTGGAGGGACACCTGTCTGGCTCAATCAGTGGAACATTTGGCTCGTGATTGCAGGGTTGTTTGAGCCCCATTTTAGGTGTAGAGATTGCTTTTTTTTTAGGTGTAGAACTTAAAGTTTTTAAAAATAATAAATTGTAACATTGGAATTACAAAAAAAATCACCCTGAATATAAAGGGAATAAATGTTCCAATCAAAAGACATAGGGTATCATAATGGATAAAAAAAAAAAAAAGATCCATCTATAGGCTGTCTACAGGAGGCTCATTTAAGACCTAAAGATGTTGGCAGATTGAAAATGAGGGGATGGTGGGGCACCTGGGTGGCTCGGTTGGTTAAGCATCTGACTTCAGCTCAGGTCATAATCTCATGGTTCATTGGTTTAAGCCCTGCATCAGGCTCTGTGCTGACAGATCAGAGCCTGGACCCTGCTTTGGAATCTGTGTCTCTCTCTTTGCCCCTGCCCTGCTCATTCTCTGTCTCTCAAAAACAAATAAATATTAAACATTTTTTTTTAAGTTTAAAAAAAAGAAAGTGACGGAATGGAGAATCATCTATCATGCTAATGGACATCAAAAGAAAGCTGAAATAACCATACTTGTATCAGACAAACTAGATACTACAACAAAGACTGTAACAAGAGATAAAGAAGGACATTATATCATAATTAAAGGATCTATCCATCAAAAAGAGCTAACAATTGTAAATATTTATGCCCCCAACTTAATGCAACCAAAATACATAAATCAATTAATAACAAATATAAAGAAACTTATTGATAATAATGCCATAATAATAGGGGGATTTAATACCCTACTTACAGCAATAGGCAGATCGCCTAAGCAGAAAATCAACAAGGAAACAATAGCTTTGAATGACACACTGGACCAAAATTTAATTTTAAGAATATTTAAGGAGAGTGGGGCATCTGGGTGACTCAGTTGGTTAAGGGCCCAACTTACAGTTGGGTGATCTCACGGTTTGTGGGTTCAAGCCCTACATTGGGCCCCATGCTGGCAGTGCAGAGCCTTCTTGGGATTCTTTCTTTCTCCCTCTTCTCTCTGCTTCCCTCCCCCTTGTACTCTCTCTCTCTCTCTCTCGAAATAAATAAATAAACTTCAAAAAAATATTTAAAGAGTAGACTGTCTAAAGCAAAAATCAAGGAAATAAACTTAACTCTGTATGAAGTTAGTGGTATAACCACTTTGAGAAAAATTATCATAACTTTAAAGCACTACATTTTGACTATCCATCTAAAGACAAAAATACCAGCAAAAAAAGACTTAAATTGAATTCAGTAGGTTTGTACTAATTTTGAAGCTATTTTGTATTTATTTTGAAGCTATTACAATATTATATATATATATAATATTCAATGTCTATGTGAGTGCATTAGAATAAAATCAAATAAGTAATTACATTAGTGTTATCGGGATTTTTTTCAAAATAAGAAAATGAGTTGCAAATATAAAAATGAAGAATTAAAAACCTGATAATATTTAATTTGAATAAAAAATATAGCTATAAGTTTGGAATTTATTTTTCTTTTCCTAAATTAATACGTATTTCCTAACCCTGTTCACTGAAAAGGACTAAACATAATTACAATCTATTAACAATGAATAAATATTTCTAGTGCATAGATTGTGGTCTTAAAATGCTATTCCTTTATAAAAGAAACCAGGACTTTTGAAGAAATGGCTGACTCCAAATATGGCACAGGAAACAGAAAAAAATGTACCTGGGATATCTTGTCACTTCTGAAAGCAAGGTAACTATCAAAGACTACAGACATCACTGTTAAGAGGACAAAGACATCATTTTTATCTGGCCAAAAATAAGACAAATTTGTAAAGTAATGACTACATTGAATCAAAATGCATTAATGCATTTTGATTAATGCATTTAATATGCATTGATTAATGCATTTAATATGCAAAATGCGTATTAAAATCTATGAGTTCAGGGAGATCCAACATGGTGGAGAAGTAGGGGGACCCAAAGTTCCCTCATCCCTCAAACACAGCAGTATTGAGGCCAAAGGATTCTAGATTCCAAGAGTCCGGGCTGCAGAGTGACAGAGTTGTCTCCAGAGACCCACGGGGACAACCTGGTGGGCCATGGGTGTGTCATTGTGAACTGGGAGAGATAAAATGGACAGCATAGGCACAGATGGGAGGGATCCCCTTCTTCAGAGAGACAAAGGGAAGAAAAGAGAGGCAGAGGAAGCATAAGACTGTAACTGGACAAGAGAAAAAAATCACGGACCCGGAGGGAGAAAGATCCAACCTCTAACCGCAGAGTTTTCTCCGGACTGGGGCCAGTTGCCCTGTTCGTGCACCTGGGGAGGAGGGAAGCCAGCTCTGGGCTCAGTAACTAGTTCAGAGGCACATTCCATAGTGGGAGAAAGCAATCCCCTCCCTGGAGTGCTGTGAGAAGAAGGTATACAACAGTTCAAAGGACAAAGACTGCCTGTGCCTGCCAGCCAGAGGCAATATATCATTGGTGGCATGGAGTGGCACTTCTCTAGAACTGAATGCACAGAGAAGGACCCCTTAAGACATCAGGGTTTAAATCCCCACCAAGTGCCAGGGAGGTGCAGGAGTCCGCAGAGCGAGACAAACTGGCCTCGTTCACTCTGATGGCACCGTGACAATGGCTTGAACAGAGTGGTTTGGGACACCTGGTCTGTGAAGGAGAGACTGGAGTGTCACCAATTTTCTCCCTATCACCAACAAGGTTGGGCCTCAGGGAACAGACAGTGGGCCCACAGGGGAGGCAGGCCCGCCTACACCAAACCACACGCCTCAGCACCTGGTAACTGTGTATCTACTGAAGCAAGATAGATGCTGATGAACAAGACAGCCCCTCCATCAGACCAGTGCTGCCACTGGTTCCAAGGCACCCAGCAGTTTTGCATTTTCTGATTTAATTCGTGGACAATTCCTATTATATATATATTTTTTTTCTTCCTTTTTTCCTTCTTATTTCTTCCCTCCTCTAGTCTGGTTATTCTGGTTATTGGTTTGTTTAATCAGACATATTTAATCTATTCTCTTTATACCTGTTCTATATCTCCTTTATATTCCTCTGCCACTCTCTGGATTAAGCTGAATAGTTTCTCTGCCTGGTCAATTTTCTTTTCTTTTCCTTTTCCCTGCCCCGTTGTTTTCCTGTAGCTGGTGTTTTTGTTTGTTTTGCTTTGTTTTAAAAGGTTTTTTTTTGTCTCTCTGGTTTTTGCTTGTTTGTTTCTTTTCTTTTCCAGGGCAACATAAATGAAAAAATCAAAGCATACCTGGTAAAGGGTCCAAAACATCACTATGAGTAGGAAGATAAAGCAACCAAAGTCACAACAAGAGAGCAAGTAACACTTTCCAAAAAACAGGCCTGAAGGGCCAGGCCCTGGACAGTGTATAACCCCTCTTTAATATAGTAGTCTCACAGGTGCAGGACCATAACAAGCTTTTAAAACACATAAGGGACAAGAAAACTAGCCAAAATGATGAAATGGAAGAATTCTCCTCAAAAGAAATTCCAGGAAGAAATGACAGCTAAAAGATTGATCAAAACAGATATAAACAATGTAAGTGAACAAGAATTTAGAATAATCATCATAAGATTAATCACTGGGCTTAAAGAAAGCATAGAAGACAGCAGAGAATCTACTGCTTCAGAGATCAAGGAACTAAAAAATGTCATAATGAATTTTAAAATGCTGTAAATTAGGTGCAAAATAAACTTGAGGCAGTGACAGCAAGAATTGAAGAGTCAAAGGGGAGAATAAGTGAAATAGAAGATAAAATTATGGGAAAAAATGAAGTTGAGAAAAAAAGAGACAAAAAAATTCTGGACCAGGAAGGGAGAATTAGAGAACTAAGTGATTCAATGAAACTTAATAATATCCATATCATAGGATTTCCAGAAGAAGAGAGAGAGAAAGGGGCAAAAGGTGTAGTTGAACAAATCATAGCTGAAAACTTCCCCAATCTGGGGAAGCAAACAGACATTGAAATCTAGGAGGCACAGAGAACTCCCTTCACATGTAACTTTAATCAATCTTGTGCATGACATATCATAGTGAAACTGGCAAAATACAAAGGTAACGAAAGAATTCTGAAAGCAGCTAGGGACAAACTGGCCTTAACCTAAAGGGGTAGACACATAAAGGTAGTAGCAGACCTATCTACTGAAGCTTGGCAGGCCAGAAGGGAGGGTCAGGAAATATTCAATGTGCTGAACAGGAAAAAAATGTAGCCAAGAATACTTTATCCAGCAAGGCTATCATTCAGAATAGAAGAGGGGAATAAAGATTTTCCCAGCCAAACAAAAACTGAAGGAGTTCATCACCACTAAACCAGCCCTACAAGAGATCCTAATGGGGGACTTTGTGAGTGGAATGCTGCAAAGACTACAAAGAACCAGAGACATCACTGCAAGCATGAAACCTACAGATAATACAATGATTCTAAATCCATATCTTTCAATAATAACACTGAATGTAAATGGACTAAATGCTCCTATCAAAAGACATAGGGTATCAGAATGGATAAAAAAAACAAGACCCATCTATTTGCTGTCTACAAATGACCCACTTTAGCCCTGAAAACACCTTCAGATTGAAAGTGAGGGGATGGCGAACCATATGTCATACTACTGGAAGTTAAAAGAAAGCTGGAGTAGCCACACTTATATCAGAAAAACTAGATTTTAAACTAAAGGCTGTTACAAGAGATGAAGAAGAGCATTACATCATAATCATGAGGTCTATCCACCAAGAAGAGCTAGCAATTATAAATGTTTATGCACCCAATTTGAAAGCACCCAAATATATATAACAATTAATCACAAACATAAGCAATCTTATTGGTAAGAATGTGGTAATTGCAGGGACTTTAATACTCTACTTACAACAATGGACAGAAAATTTAGGCAGAAAATCAATAAGGAAACAATGGCCCTGAATGATACACTGGACCAGATGGACTTGACAGATATATTCAGAGCTTTTTATCCTAAAGCAGAATTCATTCTTCTCGAGTGCACATGGAACATTCCCCAAGATAGATCACATACCAGGTCACAAAATAGCACTCAATATTTATAAAAGAATTGAGATCATACCATGCACATTTTCAGGACACAATGCTATGAAATTTGAAAGCAACCAGAGGAAAAAGTTTAGAAAACCTCCAAATGCATGTAGGTTAAAGAACAAAAGAATGAATAGGTCAACCAGGCAATTAAAGAAGAAATTAAAAAATATACGGAAACAAATGAAAATGAAAACACTGCAGTCCAAACCCTTTGGGATGCAGCAAAGGCAGTCCTGAGAGGAAAATATATTGCAATCTAGGTCTATCTCAAGACACAAGAAAAATCCCCCAACAAAAAATCTAACAGTACATATAAAGGAAGTAGAAGCAGAACAGCAAAGAAATCCTAAGGCCAGCAGAAAAAGAAAACTAATAAAGATTAGAGCAGATGTGGAGTTTGGTGAGCTCTTTATAGATTTTGGATACTAGCCCTTTGTCTGATATGTCATTTGCAAATATCTTTTCCCATTCCGTTGGTTGCCTTTTAGTTTTGTTGGTTGTTTCTTTTGCTGTGCAGAAGCTTTTTATCTTCATAAGGTCCAGTAGTTCATTTTTGCTTTTAATTCCCTTGCCTTTGGGGATGTGTCAAGTAAGAGATTGCTACGGCTGAGGTCAGAGAGGTCTTTTCCTGCTTTCTCCTCTAAGGTTTTGATGGTTTCCTGTCTCACATTCAGGTCCTTTATCCATTTTGAGTTTATTTTTGTGAATGGTGTGAGAAAGTGGTCTAGTTTCAATCTTCTGCATGTTGCTGTCCAGTTCTCCCAGCACCATTTGTTAAAGAGACTGTCTGTTTTCCATTGGATGTTCTTTCCTGCTGTGTCAAAGATGAGTTGGCCATACGTTTGTGGGTCTAGTTCTGGGGTTTCTATTCTATTCCATTGGTCTATGTGTCTGTTTTTGTGCCAGTACCATGCTGTCTTGATGACTACAGCTTTGTAGTAGAGGCTAAAGTCTGGGATTGTGATGCCTCCTGCTTTGGTCTTCTTCTTCAAAATTACTTTGGCTATTCGGGGCCTTCTGTTGTTCCATATGAATTTTAGGATTGCTTGTTCTAGTTTTGAGAAGAATGCTGGTGCAATGTTGATTGGGATCGCATTGAATGTGTAGATAGCTTTGGGTAGTATTGACATTTTGACAATATTTATTCTTCCAATCCATGAGCATGGAATGTTTTTCCATTTCTTTATATCTTCTTCAATTTCCTTCATAAGCTTTCTATAGTTTTCAGCATACAGATCTTTTACATCTTTGATTAGATTTATCCCTAGGTATTTTATGCTTCTTGGTGCAATTGTGAATGGGATCAGTTTCTTTATTTGCCTTTCTGTTGCTTCATTATTAGTGTATAAGAATGCAACTGATTTCTGTACATTGATTTTGTATCCTGTGAAGAAATGGGCAGAAAACATGAATAGACACTTCTCTAAAGAAGACATCTGGGTGGCCAACAGGCACATGAAAAGATGCTCAGCGTCGCTCCTCATCAGGGAAATACAAATCAAAACCACACTCAGATATCACCTCACGCCAGTCAAAGTGGCCAAAATGAACAAATCAGGAGACTATAGATGCTGGAGAGGATGTGGAGAAACGGGAACCCTCTTGCACTGTTGGTGGGAATGCAAATTGGTGCATTTGAACAGTTTGAACAGTGTGGAGGTTCCTCAAAAAATTAAAAATAGACCTACCCTATGACCTAGCAATAGCACTGCTAGGAATTTACCCAAGGGATACAGGAGTACTGATGCATACGGGCACTTGTACCCCAATGTTTATAGCAGCACTCTCAACAATAGCCAAATTATGCAAAGAGCCTAAATGTCCATCAACTGATGAATGGATAAAGAGATTGTGGTTTATATACACAATGGAATACTACGTGGCAATGAGAAAGAATGACATATGGCCCTTTGTAGTAACGTGGATGGAACTAGAGAGTGTTATGCTAAGTGAAATAAGCCATACAGAGAAAGACAGATACCATATGTTTTCACTCTTATGTGGATTCTGAGAAACTTAACAGAAACCCTTGGGGGAGGGGAAGGAAAAAAAAAAGAGGTTAGGGTGGGAGAGAGCCAAAGCATAAGAGACTCTTAAAAACAGAACAAACTGAGGGTTGATGGGGGGTGGGAGGGAGGGGAGGGTGGGTGATGAGTATTGAGGGCACCTTTTGGGATGAGCACTGTGTGTGGTATGGAAATCAATTTGACAATAAATTTCATATATCGAAAAAATAAATAAATAAATAAATAAATAAATAAATAAATAAATAAAAGATTAAAGCAGAAATAAACAATATAAAATCCAACAAAACCCAGAACAGATCAATGAAACTAAGAGCTGTTTTTTTGAAAAACAAACAAACAAAAACAAAATTGATAAGCCCCTAGCCAGATTTCTCGAAAAGAAAAGAGAGAGAGGACAGAAATAGGTAAAATCATGAATGAAAATGACTTACCACAACCAATCCCTCAGAAATACAAACAGTTATCAGAGAATACTATGAAAATTTATATGCCAACAAACTAGACAACCTGGAAGGGGTGGACAAATTTCTAGACACCCACACACTATCAAAACTCAAACAGGAAGAAACAAAAAGTTTGAACAGAACCACACCTAGTGAAGAAATTGAATAATTTATCAAAAATCTCCCAACAAATAAGAGTCCTGGGCCAGATAGCTTCTCAAGGGAATCCTACCAGACATTTAAAGCAGAGTTAATACCTATACTTCTCAAGCTGTTCCAAATAAATAGATATGGAAGGAAAGCTTCCAGACTCATTCTGTTAAGCCAGCATTACCTTGATTCCCCAAACAGACAAGAGACCCCACAAGAAAGAATTACAGGCCAATATCCCTGATGAACATGGATGTAAAAGTCCTCAACAAGATACTAGCAAATTGAATTCAACAGCATATAAAAATAATTATCCACCATGAGCAAGTGGTATTCATTCCTGGGCTTCAGAGCTGGTTCAATATTTGCAAATCAATCAATGTGATACATCTCATTAATAAAAGAAAAGATAAGAACCATATGATCTTGTAAATAGATGCAGAAAAAAACATTTGACAAAATACAGCATTCTTTCTTAATAAAAACCCTCAAGAAAGTCGAGATAGAAGAAACATACCTAAACATCATAAAAGGTGTATATAAACAACCCACAGCTGGTATCATCCTCAGTGCAGAAAACCTGAGAGCTTTCCCTGAGAT